CACTTCAACACGTTCTTGTGCGGGCTTAATAGACCCTCACGATCCTTCTCGTCAAGAAACTGTATTCAACAAGAAGAAACCAGACTTTAATGGACATGATATTCAGGAACACGTCCTGATCAGCATAGTGACGTTTAACATGTATTGTGTAGTTATAATCATTATGCAAAATAAAAACAAGAAACGTCTTTTTATACCTGGAGTTGCATAATCTCACAAACTAAGCTAAGATCTGCAAGGGAAGGTTGGGAATTTCCAAGCAAAAAGCTTCCGTCTTTCTGCAGCCAATAGGTGTCAATCGTTGCAAGAGATGCAGAAAGGAGATTTTTACCTTCTGCAGCAGCTTGTGGATTCAAAGGCAATCCAAATGCAGGTGCCAGTATAGTGTTAAAGACATATCCCGCTGAAAACAGAAGAATGATCCTTGAGAAACAACAAAAGACGTACGTATATTGCAGTAGAAATGATGAGGCCACAAGCAAACTAGCTGAAGCCACCAAGGATACATAGCGAGTGGTGCCCCTAACTGTTAAATGGACCTTCCACCACTCAAAAGCTAGCTCAAAGGGATGAGAATTACCCAAGTCATCTAAGGAGTGATCATTCTCATCACCTGCCCTCACGCCCAAACACTGTCCGAAATGGAGTATGAACAATCATAAACCAAGGTATATAATCACCCTTCCCCCCTCTCTCCCCCACACAACGGCTCACATCGGACCATAGGCCTGACTCTGATACTATGTTCAATAGACCTCAGGCCTAACCCAATCCGATGTGTGATAACCCTATTAAATCTGATTAAGTACATTCTGTAACAAATTGAAAAACTCATAGCAAATTAACCACCCAGCAATGAACAAATATGGGAGCAAAGAGTATCTTCAACACACAAAAGAAGTACCTGAACCACGACGTAAGTTAGCATGGTGCCAATCCAAGACACATTCTACATTTGCTCTTTTCTGCAGATCTTTTGGATACCTTCATCATAAAACAAAAAAATCCTGAGGATATTGTAGATCACCAATCCTATTAATCTATAGTCCAATGTTTACATTAAAAACTAAAATTAAGAAGCGGACAGAACTAAACTTACCAATGATCAGCAGTTTCCGGAAATGCAGAAGCTAGATATCTAAGAATCGCATGACTACAAAGCACAGAGAAAAATTTATGTTACATCACTATACACAAGCCATACATTACATCACCGGAACAATTGTCACACACAATTTCAATCAAAGAGAATCACTTAAAGAAATTTCTGGTGCATGTATAAATCATTTTAACATCAACCAAAAGCGAGATCTAACAATGGACAAACAGGAATTCGTATATATATATATGTATCTTTGATACCAGATACACAGAACCTCCACGACCACGTTTTACCCACTTCAATTGAAATTGTTAGTAGATTCTAATAATAATTTATACATATTCTTCAAACAAAAACAGAGTTCGAAAAAAATCTCTAGCTCCGTCCCTGCATATCAGTAATTTATATAAGAAATTAGAATTACCTTTCGAAAAGCTTAAAAGTATCATGAACTATGGCTGGTACTTGCTTCATGATATTAACTTCTGCAAATGAAAAAAAAAACACTATTTTAAAAAAAAAAAAAGTAATCTAATAATTGAGTCTGATCTAGATTTTAAAAATTTATCTGTTTGGCCATGAAATTTCAAATTTACAAAAACTAGCTGAGAATCAACTTTGGGACTTTCACGGACAAAACTTTAAATTCTAATATTTCGAGTTTCAACTTCAAAATGTACGAACAAAGAAACGAACCTTGATATTCAGGAGTGCGATGTTGACCTTTAGCAAGATCAATATTAACCTCTTCAAATTCAATTCCATTTAATCTTAAAAACCAAAAGAAAAAACGATAATAAGATTAAGATCATTGAGAGAAAATAAGTAACAAAAGGAATGATGAGAAGATAAGATTTACTTGCAAAAGATGAGAATAGCACGAGAAGGTTGAGAAAGACGATCGACGTAAACTTTGAGAGACATAATGTATGAATAGATGAGATTTGAGATTTTGATTCGATTTTTAGTGAATTTGTACGAGAAATGAAGCTCTATTTAAAGTTTTTTTTTTGGGGTTTGGGCATTTAATTCCGACTGTTTTGGGGGAAGAAAAATTGTCAATGGCAAGTTCTGATAGGTGGTAGGGACCCAATTTAATGAAAAATATTTACTCTCAAATTTTTATTCTATTTAAATCTTGTGAGATGGATCCCGCTTTGTATGATAAATTTCGTTAAATTTATAGACGAAATGTGTTTATTTATTTAAAATTGAAAGATATAAATATTAGTTGAGATTGAATCAGATGTGTATTATATCTGAAACAAAATGCGTATTACTTCATCATAATTAAGTGACAAAGAATATTTATATGCAGACAAGAATGTGATGTCTCTCCTTGTTTTAAAGTAAATTGAGTTGTTCGAATGTTAAACACTTAGGGATGACAATGGTAAGGAGTGAAGCGGGGCAGATTTTGTCTCATGCGAGACGGGGCGTGGTCTGGCTTTATGGGGTGGGGACAGGGTGGGGATATAGTGCAAATGTAGGAGAGGGATGGGTTAACTGAAATAACATAAATGAGTCAATCTTTTCACGAATGAAATATACGATTTTTTTCTCAAGGTTCAAAGACATATTGAGCCTTTTTTTTCTTTAGAAAAATAATTTAATCAAGGGAAAAAGGACAATATATCCCCGGATTATTGTAAATAGTATGCAAATATCCTTCGTTATACTTCTGGGACAATGATGCACACGTCTAAAAACTAGAGCATGTATACTATTTATACAAACAGATATACACATGTCATAATCTTATCTATCGATCCGACATTTATTACATATCAGATCGAAGAATAAGATTGCGCCAGGTGTCCCTATTTAGTTTTCCGTTAGAGCGAAAGACATGTATACTCTAGTTTTTGAATGGCAAGAGCATCAATATCCCACAAATATGACGAAGGGTATCAATATACCATTTACTATAATTTGGAGATATATTTATCTATTTTCTCTTTAACTAATAATGTGATTGAAATCATAATTGACCATATGTAAAAAATCATTTTATAGAGTAGAAATTATTTTTCGTTAACAAGCAATATCAAAGATAAATCTTTTCTCGAATGAATATAATTGACATACTTGAGCTTTTTTCAAATTAAAAAGACTTCTTCTTGGTTTCACATTGGGTTATGGATGAGTGTGAACATATGTTTTGTTTATTTACTAAATTATTATTACGTAAGTGATGATGTGAAGTGTGAACCTATTTAAGGTTTTAATATAGGAGTAATATCCGATGCCAAAATACCCAATAATGCATTTGTTTTTTCACATTTCAAAAAATGGATTTGTTTTGAAAAGTAGATAAATAATTTTGTTTAGATAGTAAATATTTTTAATTTTCAATTTTCAATTTTAATATCGTCGATTTAAATCATCAAAAAAATTAAAAAAAGATATATGTTCAAAATATTGTATTGATGTCACATATTCGTGTTTGAATCTTACTTATAGTTTGTTTAATAATCTTTTTAAAACCAACTCATTTTTCGGAAATGAATAAGAAAAGATTGCTTAAACGATAAATATTCTCTATTTTCAAATTTAATGTTGTGAGACTAAATCATGAAAGAATCACAAAGGGTTGGAGCTTACAAGCAACTATAAAAAGAAATTAAAATATTCTTCAAAAAAGTATTTTTTGTTTTTGATAAAAAGTCATTCGTATTTGACTAATCATATTGAAAAATATTGTGTTTGGCTAATTAAATTAAAAAAAAACACTTCTTAGCCGCTATTAATATTGGTCAAACTTTTAAAGATGTTTTCTAAAATTACAAGTATTTTTAAAAAACTAATTTTTGTAGTTTTTAAAACACAGTTATTGTTACTCTTCGAAATACTTACCGTCTCTTAAACACTTGATAAAATATTTTATTATTTAAAATTAAAATTCAAATATTTTTAATTAAAGATAAAAAAAATCTCGACCTATAGGTATTCTATTGTTTGTGACAATATAATATTCCAACTAAGAAAGATTGTGCAAAATTATTTAAGTGTGTTTCCATTTGTTCATTGGGCAAATAATATGTATTCAATGACGTTGAGGCAGAGGAATCTTAAATGATAGTACTATTAATCAAATAACGTGGAAACAATTAAAAGTAACGATTAACGTGAGATTGCGGTGTAATAATGAGATTGTTTTATTCTTAATTAAAAATTTTAAATTCGAGTTTTGGGTATAGAGAAAATCATGTTGGAAGCGTCATCTCCGAATGAGCTTTATAGTGTACGATTAAACTTAATCAGAGTTTTAGTACAGACTTTGATCACTGAATAGGAAATTAAAAAAAAAGATATTTCCTTCGGGTTTTTTTAGTTATCTTATTTTTGTTTCTTATTTAAGAAATTATATTTTTATCATTTAAAAATATTTTTTTCTTTTAAATAAATATTCTTTCTGATGCAAATGAAGATTGAAGGGTATCCAATAATACAAATATCACATATTGATTTTTTTTAAATAAAATGAATAAAATTGAAAGCTAAATCTAAGAGTAATATACCTAAATTTAGGGTTGTTCAATACTATTGATGTCCTAAAGTCAAATTGTTAGATGCAAAGTTATGAATAATCATTTTATAATTGATTTCTCCGTTTCTTTTTAGTTGATAATATATTTAATCCGTTCGATTTTATTACTGAACTTTAAAAAGATTTTATCAATTTTAATTTTGAAACAGCTCTTATTTATTGAGTTTGAAAATTCTTTAAATACTTTTTTTTATACAACTCTTAATATTAATAACTACATATATAGAGTGGTACTCAAATTTATAGTTTCAAAGCAATATTGATGATGGTAACTTATTAAAATACACTTAAATAAATATATTTTAGAAGCCTGCCAAGTAATAAGGGCCAGTCAGGGGCGGACCCATGTTGAATCTAGGATTCATTCGAACCCCCTCAATAAAAAAATACATCATATATAAGGTAAATTTCTATATTTTTGTAGATATATATATTTTGAATTCCCTTAATAATAAATAGAAATAAATAACTCAGTAGCAAGTCCCCTGAATATTAAGTTGCACGCACCAATTCAAATCCATATGAAAATATTGTTATTTTCCTTTTTTAATTCAGTTTATTTTTTAAAAGAAAAAACCAGTTCTATTTTTCAAGCTTGTTTTAACCTTATTTTTCATTTTAAAATGTGTTGAGCCAAAAAAATTCAAGGGCCTCATTTCTAAAGTCTTATTTACACATTTACACATTTATTTTTTGAACCCCTCAATGAAAATTCTGGATCGGCCACTAGATAAAGTAATCACCAACTTCAGAAGGACAATTTCTTTTTAACAAGTTTGTTACACAACTAGAAATAGGACTCAAGTACACGAGTAGAAATACTCCAATTTTCTTTATTTTTTGTGTATATATACTTGTACAAATCATTGAAAATTTCATCATTCCTTTCTCTATCAATTCTATTTAAAGGATGGGAAAAAGTAGTACTTAACTGACTTACAGGTGATGAACATGTAAAAAAGAATAGTAAATTCTGACTAATGTAAGATACATGTGATTAATTTAAGCAAACAAAACCAACATCAATATTAGACAGCTCGATGCACTAAGCTTTTACTATGTGCGGATATTCTGGCAAAAACCGAACCACAGGAGTCTGTTGTACACAACCTCATCCTACGTAACAAGAAACTGTCTCCACACCTCGAACTCCTGACCTCCTGATCACATGACAACAACAACTTTACCTGTTACGACTGATACTCCCCTTCGAAACCTAACATATTTATCATACTTCCAATCTAGTCAACCTTTCAAATAAATTATTCATAGTTATAGAAAATGCATCTTGAAATTTCTCCAGCTTGGATTTTGGATCTCCATACACTAATCCAGGCAACAACTCATAAATTATATATCTTCTCATGTTCTGTTTTTCCCCTGCAGGAATTTTCATTAGCCTGTCTACAACATTAACTTTCATGTTCCTAACATCTTCTTGATCAATAAAAACAGAATATTTTTTGTAATCTTGTGGTAAATGCCAAGGATATTGATAGTATGCTGTAAATGGATCAAATATTACTGGAATACAACCTGATATAAGTGAATCAAACACTGATTTTCTTGTAGGGCTATCGCCCGGAGGCTGTAAACAGAATTCTGATTCAATGAACAACTCGATGATGGACTCGGGTTGATCACACGAACCTGAACTACAGTTCATGAATGTGCATTGATCACTGGTTGAAGTGCATTGATTGATCAAGATTGACCTGATGCTTTCTGGTGCATCAGGCCTTGCTGCACCAGCAAAACTTATCAGGCTTTTTCGACTTTCGTTGAGGAGTTTTAACTGCCATGTTGTTATGTCATTGTCTGATTGTGGATGGAAAAAAGTTGGATGAGGTATCCCTATGTCGTTGAGGTGCCATGGTTGTCGTTCTATCAATAGCTTCACCGGATTCTGCATTTCGTTTAGCTCCAAGAACCTACTCCCCCAATTCGAGTTGCTATATCTCCTGAAGTCCCAAGAAATTTTCCCAAGTACAAAGATATGATCTTTACCTGCATGTAGCTCGCACGTTATAACAAAGATATGATCTTTTAACTATCAGTTATTCTCTTTTCCTATCTGAATTATCAGTATCTATGTATTAAAAGTTGAAACACATATATGTTGTTCCTTTTTCCTACCTGAACTATCACCATCTACTCAACTATGTGTGTTTTAACACGTAAATAATAGTTGAGATGACTAACTCACGAAAAAAAAGTGATAGTTCATTCAAGTATGAAAAGTGAACAACTGATAGTTGAAATGTGAAACTCACGATATCTCTAAATAGTACAATACTATTATAAAAGGTGTAAATCTTTGATCCGCCTCTGTTTTACCTGATCTTTTAAACCAAGTTGGTTGCGACTCGAGCCATTTGACAAGTTCTAGCCCCAAAGAGTCCTTGACAACATTTGTTACATTCTTGAAATGCCATCTCAATACATCAAGTCCAGCATAGAAAGGCACATAAAAAAGATCTGCTTCACTTATGTTATGTACTCTACAAGGATGATTCATAACTCTTGAATGAAATATCAACTCCAAAGAATACTGATGAGTTTGGTACCATCCTTTTCCTAGCTTGTGTACTGGTTCACCCATTGCATCATTGCTGAAATAATCACATAAATCGACCCACGGAACCATATCAGCACACTGAGACACCAAATCCTTGTTAAATTTTGTTGGTAAATCGTACACATAAACTCCCCTGCCATCACATAACGTTGCATTATGATTCTGTATCGTTGATGTCCATGATCGATGCATTTCTAACTGATCCTCAACGTCGTTATAAGCAACAAGCAACTCCTCATCACTTTTAACCATGCCATTTCTAAAGGCATGGTACCCTGGAGGGATTGGTATACCAAGACGCGTTGATTTTTGTTGCAAGTCATCAACAAATTTCGTTGCACTAGTAGTAAGATTTGATGAAAGGGAACTCGAGGCTTCAAGATTCGAGTGTGAGCCTGCAGAAATGCAATAGAGATCATTGAGTTTACGCGACTGGAAGCAGAGATGGATAACATTACCAGAGATAATGGTGGACGATGACGACCATAAGAATATGAGAAGGAAGATGATGATTGTAACAGGTATAAGAAATACAAGTTTAGCTAAGCTAAAAAGTTCATTTTTGGAGATCTTAGTTTTTCTCTTGGAAAAAGTAGAAGTCATTTTTGGTGACTAACAAAGATTTTCTTAGATCCTTTTAAATTTTTCTCTTCTAACAATGCTTTTTACTTGTAGACTTTGAAATTAATAATAATTTGTTAATTTTTGTGTCATCAAGAGGATTAATTGAGTTGACTTAACATGGAAGCACGTAGTAGCATGTCAAATATGAAATACCAATATTAATTGTAGGCACGTTTAATAGGATCCATCTACTTATATTCACTCTCCATTAAAATTTGTTTTCCAGAGTTATATATGGTTAAAGTTATTTTTCATGTATATATACGGTAGATGTTGAATTTCTTTGACTTTTTCTGTGTTACTTCTTCATACTTTAAACTCTTTAATGAATATTATGGTTCTGCCATTGTAATGTGATCATAAACTAAAATATGTTAAATATGTTAAAATGTAATCTAATTTTATAATTTTAAATATATCAAGTGAATTTTTTTTAAATAAATTATCAAAAAAAGAAAATAAAATATTTTCTGACACAAAATAGTCAATAGGAACAAATTAAATTTGAGGAGAGGAAGTATTCTCATCTGCCCTTCCAATATTTTGATAGTTACCACTCAAGTATTCAGTGCATTGTATACATTCTCTTTCTTCTTGTATTTTTTACTTATTTTTTTATTATTGGCTCTTAGACTTTTTTTTAAAAGAAAATATAAAATAAAATAAGGTTATATATTATCCATGGTAAAGTTAAAAATTTCCGTTAAAGGTTTAATATACGTATAAAAACTAATTTCTAGCTAGTACTCATTATTTTATATGTCTACGCTATTTAAATACACCATCAAACCCTACTTATAGAATAACATAAACTAATTTGTCGACAACGGATATTCAACTAGCTAATAGCTGTTATTTTATATGTCTACACCATTTAAATACACCTTCGAACTCTACTGATAGAATAACATTAAATTAATTTGTTGGCTAGTACCCGTTATTCTATATGTCTACGCTATTTAAATACATTCTCGAATCCTACTTATAGAATAACATTACATATGTTATTGATGTTGGTTGACAATTTTATTCTGTTAAGTTTTAAAAGTTTAGTAAAATGTAATATAGTTTTCTACATTTTTCAAACCCTATTGAACACATCCTAATTGAACTTCAAAGTTCAAAACTAAATTAATTGGCAGTTGTCACATGGTCCCACATGCACACTTGTCTGCTAATCTATGTTGTTTTAATGCAGGCCTCTCTACATAATTGCCTATTAAAATAAATAAGTTGCTTAGTTGACTTTCTCTAAAGTATTATATCTGGAAAAAAAAGTACTATAGGGTATAAAGTTGTACAGAAAAATTAAAAGAATATTATTAACATTAACTGTACAATTAGGAGTAAGAAATAAGTATGTTTATTTTGGTACAGATGTAAGCTCTACAATAAATCTGTGATATTGCCAAATCTCAAGCTGATTAATCAAATCACAGCAAGCAGAGTTTATTAATAAGTGACTGTAAATATATAGTTTTTCGTCCAAACTTTAAAAATCAATATAAAATTAAGGCAATTTAAAAGAATCACATACAATATTTTTAAAAATAATACTTTCTCTGTCCCATTTTATGTGGCACTTTTCATTTTTCGATAGTCAAACAGTTTAACTTTGACCGCACATTTGCGCATAGAATCTTCAAATTTTTAAAAATGAAACTTAGATATTTGTAAACTACGTAAAGAATACTATAAGTCACAATAATTGATAACTCAAAATGTTAAAAGAATATATGAAGAATTTACGATCAAAGATAGACTTATTTGAATCTCGAAATGCGAAAAATGTCACATAAAATGGGACGGAAGGAGTAATAAAATAGAACATGTTACCATATATGCAAATGGAAACGAAATTGAATAGAAAGAAAAAGATCTAGGATGAATTATACACAAAAAAGTATGCATGACATGTGTTTCACCAAAACAATATCATATTTCACTGCATGCACAACACCAAGGCACCAGTGGTCTAGTGGTAGAATAGTACCCTGCCACGGTACAGACCCGGGTTCGATTCCCGGCTGGTGCATTTTTTTATCTTTTGCTGAATGAAGCTTGTAAAATCACTCATTTTATATAGTTCTATAAGCCTGTGAGATCAACAAATTTATACAAGTAAACCTACTCTAAAAATAGATTTGAGTTTCCAGCATCATTCGCTACGCTAATCAAGAAGCTGCATCAATTTGGCACATACCATCCCATGATTACATCCACTTTTATCAGCTAATACTACTTGGAGTTGCATAATATCTCCACAAAAAATGTAAGTCAAGTAGCTCTAAAGAGTATGAACAATACAGCCGGGGAGACACAAAAGTACAGGGGAGAAGAACGACATGCCAAAACATGTAAGAGATTGTACCAGATACAGGTAGGATCTTTGGGACAAAATTCTTGTGGCGAACTTCAAAAGCAATTTCTATGCCACGGATGAAATGGTGAATGAACTCTCATGATCCACTACCCCCTGATTGTGATCGCGACTTTACAAAGAGTCTTATAGTTGAGAAGATGAAAGAAGGCTCTTCCATGGCTCCATTTACATAATCTCCAGAGGGAAGCCTCTTTGATACTGGTGGTATAAGAGCGATGCCAAGCTCGTCAATTGTCATAAGGTGACGTTCTGTGAATGGGTTATACCACATAAATGAATTCATTGCTGGTGCCACAAAAAAGGGTTTCTTATAGTCCCATGCTCGCACAATGCAGGTCAGCAAATTATCACACAATCCACCAGCAATCTACATCATAAGAATACATATCAATTTATATGTGCCATAAAAAGAAACGAGTAATCTAGTAACCTCAAATGACTGTATAACTATGAGATGCAGATCCTTCGAATATTTTATGTTAATATCTGAATATTCCGGACGCCTGTTTTACCGAATTTCCACACTTGCCACAGATCTTTTCACTTTCAGGATACTTGCCATGGACACACGAGTATCCAGGGAACCAAATTCCATGATAACTTTACTAAGTCTAGGTTCTCAGTCAAATTAGTAATTTTTGAACATTTATCTGAACTTAGTTATATCACTATGGTTAACTAGTAGTATACAAGGAAATGAATTTATTTCTTGCAGTGAAAATGTATATCCAATCTATGCTGCTTGGACTCTTCAAAATTGTCGATGGGTGTGTGTCGGATCCTCCAAAAACAGTGTATTTTTGAAGGATCTGACATGGGTGCGGCAACATTTTTGGAGAGTCCAAGCAACTTAGTATCCAATGTCATGGAATGATAAGTAAGAAGATACAAGGAGACATCACCTTTCCAAGCGTATTTGCTGATAAAGGGGCAATAACCATGATATCAGCCCACCTACGGAGCTCAATGTGTAGCACACCATCACCCACCTTCTTCCAAACGGACCATTCATCATCATCTGTATAAAGGTCGACGTTTCTTGGAAATGACCCTGTGTCTATGAATGGAAGAGAAGCTTTTGTTGCAACAGCTTTGACTTCTGCCCATTCAGAAAAGCATTGACATAGATTTGAAAATTTGATAGCTGCCACACTTCCACTTGCAGCTAGCAGAATCCGAGGTTTACGTGAAGCATAGTCAGGCTCCATGCTTCCTATAACCTGTAAAAGTCAGAATTAATTTTCTAATTGTATCAAGAGAAAAACAATAATTATGAGTGTGGCACCTATGAGAGAGAGAAACAACTAGATACAACATAGATCACTAGCAAAATTTGACAACCTTATATATCTATATTGCCATTCAGTCGAGATAGCACTTCCCATTTTCAAAATGACTTTGATTACGATGCCATGACTTCGTATCACTAAGATTTGCAAACAAAGGCTTCATACCTTCATTTACAATAATAAGAAGAACAACAGCTATCCCTTTATGCAGAGTACCAAATCAAGTTGTTATTGACAGAAATGTCATGTAAACGAACCAACTTTACATAGTAAAGAACCATTCGTTATAAGAATTAGGAAAGATTAATGAGGCAAATAGTCACTCTGCTTCCTATCACCACAGAATCTTCAAGTCTTCTGCAATATTACTATTCACTGCAACATGGTTTAGTATAAAGGAAATCCCATCGATGGTTTAGTACCACATAATTGGAGCATATCACAAAATCCAAAAATAATGTAGTCTGTATAAAAAAGATACATGTAGATATTTGTACTGCTGTCCAAATATATATATGTATATTGTGCTAAATATTGGAATCTAATAGAACAAAAACCTACAAGCCTTTTTTGTCAGATTCTTTAGTTAGATCACACCACAACATTTGCTAATCCTGCATATTACATACGCAAAGCTAATATTATTGACTCTGCTTTACTTTAGTATTTTTCTTTTCTTGAAACAGTTCTCTTTGTGCACTGTTTTCAAAAATGACATTCATTTAGAGATTTTGGTTTACTATTCGAATCCTAAATTGCTAAGAGTGATCAAACTGAAATTATCTGCTCATCTTACAAGTGGACTTCACATTACAACTCTCAAAACCCATTATTTATTATAAAAAATTTGATGCCCCTAGTAAAATCTTTTACATTAGCCTTTACCTAGAAAAAAGAAGAAAAAAGACATAACAGTGTCTCTTAAGTCTTGACACAAAACTATAGACCAATCCCAAAATGAAAAGACTCAAACCTCGCGTACGGACCAAATCAGCAGCTACCTTTTTTATATATATAAATAAGCTATTGAATCCCCTTGACTTAGCTTAAATTTTTTTATAAAGTAATAAGTTCATTAGGAAAGGGCAAAAGCTCACCCGTATACAAGAAGTATACCAGAACTCCAGAAGTAGAAAACCTTACAAGAGGACATGGTTTTCTACAAATAACACCCACTCATCTATACATGTAGGAATCCCATGGGTGCACCAAAATGAAATAAGGAAAAATAGGTCATTCCTCAAGTGTAAAAAGCCTTTCTCTACTCCCTCAAAAGCTCTTCTATTTCTCTCTAGCCATATGATCCACAGAAGTCCTAGAGGATTAACATCCTATTCCCCTTGACTTAGTTTCATATCTTAGGCATGACACTTTTACATCTCTTTTAGTCCCTGTGATAAATTTTTAGTTCCGACGCTTGACCAAACTATGTGAATTTACCACGGTATGATCAATTGAGGCAAATTATAGTACTCCTTTCATTTCGATTTGTCGGTCTCCCTTTCCTTTTAGTCCATTTCAAAATGAATGTTGAATTCCATTTCAAACAACTCTTCAATTTCAATTTTAACCATGACATGCTCAAAATCACAAAAATTAAAGTACATTTGGTACATTTGATATATCGTTAATTTAAAACAATAAAGATTCAAAAGCATTCTATTAATTTC